CATTGTGGGAAAAATCAGCTACCAGTCCTTCATCACCTTAAACGAAATAGAGTGAACACATCTCATATGTTGTATATTTGCCATTTTTAGACTACTTCCTACACGTAAATTCGATTAATCAAATTTATGCTTTACTAAACTCTCACCGATGAGTCGATAAATTTGCTCAGCATTACTCGCAGCATACGAAGGGAGAAGCTTGTAAAAGGGTATAGATCACTTGAATCATTCATGAGGCATTATGGATAACTGCAGGTAAGCTTGCAACACTTTAATTATATTGGCATCATCATTGTTTGCTGCAAAAAATAGTTGTTAACGAGGAGTATAAATAAATACATGCATTTGAACTTTCTCTAAAGCCCAATGTAACGCCAGAATAGTAGGAGCACAAAGGAATGGCCTTTAAAGAAAATATTTAAAATAAATAAAGCTGAACTCTCTTGAAATTAGTAATAAATCCATTTGGGTATCGATGCGTAAACAAAATGAATTACGCAGCAAAGAAGACAGAGAGGGTTTTTGTGTCGTCATGTGATTTGATATTGGCCATGAAAATCATATAAAAATCTCCCATTCCGAAACAGGTGCCCATGCGAAAGAGAAAAATCCTCTCATATTGTGTTATCGACAGGAAACGACTTAGTTGAGTGCTCTTGTATGGCTCCATCATCAAGGGGGTGAAATAGTGTGTCTTTGTTGGGCGCTTTGTTCGACAGTTATATTCTATATTTCGTTTTTAGTAGCCTTTCGAGAATTAACTCACAGATATTTTCTACCCGACTCATTATTCCTCGTTCTGGCGGAAGCGGCTTCTGCATCAAAAAAGGGAGAACAGGCCGCGGAAGCAAGATTTATAATAAGGCTGGCCCCTTTCTCCCATCGTTCGATTACAATTATGTCCAGAAGGTTGGAGATATGCTCAATCAGAAAACATATCCTATGCGGACGGCCAGCGAAACAGTGGTGAACAGGCTGGAATGGAAAATCTGAGTGAGCTGTGAAAATTTTCGCCCAATTCACCTGACGGTTCATAAAAGGACGAGGAATGGCAGAGAAGAGGAATTGGTCTAAAAACGCATACAAATCAGGATTGGTGAGTAGACGATATCTTATACGCACACACATACACATGCATAAACATATATATTTTTATTTCTTGTATATGTGTGTATGTTATATGTATACATGCATACACATATATACAATAAAATTCGTGATTGCAAGCGAATTCAATTTAAGGCTACCTGGTGGATGCTAATAGTGGCAGTAGATTCTGACGAGCGATCAGCAGAGAGCCCAAATCAGGCTGATAGAAGCGAGATCCCGTCTGCGCTTAAATTTGTCTAGACCTTTTATGAGGTCCCCCAGAGCCAAACTGACCCTTTTATGACAAATTCATATAAAAATAGCATTTAATGGCACTTTATTCACCAACATATCGTGTCGCTATGACCAGGTTCTCGACACGCACATCGGCATATTGAATATCTGCCTCCTACCTCGTTTAAACATTGTCGCTCACTAACTTGTAAAATAGTAGATGAGCAAAGCTCTCGACCTTCATCTTCAAAATCTGTCTTGGAAGATAAGTAAGATTCTAAATTAACCGAGTAAGCTCGTTTACAATAAGAGGAAGTTAGTAGCATGTCTTTTTCGAAAATAACATTTAGAGGTTGCATGTGTGGGTAAATAGGCCGATATTTCCCCTCGAATGATCCAACCTAAGATGGAATGTAAAGCCCCCTAATTTTCGTTGTTAATTTGACTGATGAATAAATGAATAAGGCCAAAACATTCACGCGATTTGTTAATGGAAATTAGAAAGAGGAAAATAAAGAAGATCGATAAAAAAAGTGCATTGCCCGACTTGTACTTAATGGAGCTACAGTGATAAAAGTGGCTTGGATGACATTAGCAACAAATGAAGTTGAAACAAGCATATTTATCACTGTCCGGACTTGCGAAGAAGCTATATTCCTTTACGTTGTCCTGACGACAATCAACAGTCTTTTCGCTCGAGAAACTCCGGTTAAAATCGATATTCTCTACCCAGAGCCCTGTGTGAGGTGAATAAAAGTAAAGGTCATATCGAGAAAAAGACAGATGGTATTCATTTGACCTTATTTTCGCAACTTGGTATGAGCACCATAAAGACCTAGTGAAACGTACCTAGTCATGCGTCCTCTGCCATAGTATTCATGATGCATCTCAGCTTGGACCGTTGATTTGGTACATTCACGGACGTTTCGCTGGCCTCGTACTTGGCACTGCCAGTGAGAGGCGTTAACGTATAATTTGTCCCTTTGATAAGTTGTAACTATATAACTAAATTTGCCATCTGGGAATGTACCAACTCAAGGGTCCGATGCTGGAAAATATCATGAATACTATGGCAGAGGACGCAGGACTGGGTAGATTCAACAAGTTAATAAAACGAGATCAAACCAACACTAAACAACTAAAGGCCAAACTTTTCCTAGTCGCGGCGCCCTTTTTCAATTAAAATTTTTTCATGGCGCCCTACCCTAAGTGTGACTATTCGTAAGTAAGAGATAAAAATAAATAAAACTCGTGTGTCTTCATTATTTTTTTTACATTATTAACATTAAATTTATATTTAAAAATTAATGTGATGGATGAGCCTGCAAATCACGGCACATTTTCTCAAATTTAAGCTTTTACAATATTTCGCGTCTTCCCGGGGCGCCGCGGCGCACAGTTTGGGAATCACTGCTCTATAGGATATAATACTATGTACGTTCCACAAGGTGTCCTTGAGATTAAACCGACATTATAGATTGTGCGTTTATAAGAAGGTTTTTGAGGCTACTCATAGATATGATATATGGTATGTATTCACTCTATTTCTTTAATTTGATGAGGGACTGGATGTAGAATTTTACCACATGTCGGGATTATATACTGCACTATCACGGTTCAAGTCCCCCTGGGTTGTTGAGGAGAGCAATTCAGGCGATGTCGAAACCACAGTCTGCTCCAGCCTGGATAAGAATATCTTTTAGGAATCAAGGCTGTGTGAAATGCAATGGAAACTCATATCATTGTGGTAAAACTCAACTACCAGTGATTAATCGGCCTGGAGCGATTAGAACTCTTGTTCAAGATCTACTCGTAGTTTCGAAATCGACTAAATCTCAACAACATAGTTATCTTAATCGACAATGCCACTTTGAAAATGATATGGCAGAGGCCTGGCGTCTCTTCAAATTCTTGTCTGCTCTGAGACCCAAAGGCACTCGTGGCAGTTGGCGCAGTGGTTGAGCCTGTCTAAATTATTTGCCGCACAATCATGGTTCGAGTCCCGCTGGTGAATTGATGAGATGTAGGCAAAGTCGAAACTGCAGGCTAGTCCAAATTGGATGAGAACACCGTCTGGGAAACAAGGCAATATGGATTGCAATTGGAGGATAAGGAAAGCTAGCCATCAGTCTTTCATTAACTCAAACAAAATGGGGTGAACACAGCTTTTTTATAAGATTTACTGGCAGTCTTGAAAGTCTACTTATAAATCGAAAAAAAGTAATGTAGAAGATCACCAAAACA